AAACCCAGCTTAAGCTTCTGGCAGCTCTCTGTAAGTGTACTGTTCAAGTTAGTCTTGGATAATCATCAGCAATATTTTGCTTGATGTGATATTAATGATATTGTTCAGTAATTTGCACATTCTGTTGGATCACCTTTCTTGGAAATTCAGTACTTTCTGTCAGTTTGATGTACTGCGGGAACTTCTAGATTGCTGTGGTTTGTGAAAGCTACACCACTGGTGTTTGAAATGCCAGAAGGATAACCCATGATGGGCAGGTTTCAGCAATGCTCTGCTTGAGACAGCCTAAGAAGCAGGATTGGCCATTCACTTCTGAAATAACAGGCCTCTTGAAACCCTATGAACACTGAAGGACTTTAGTCAAGTAGAGCCCAAATTTGATGTCACTCAAAATTAGGAGAAACAGCTGCAAGAACCCTTTTGTAATTGGTATATAGAAACATCCATGGGATGGACATAGACATGCTGGAGGTTGTGAACACGTGAACATTGACATTCTAGGCATTAGTAAACTGAGATGGAGAAGCTTGGACCGCTTGAACCAGACAGTCATAAATTTCTTATGCCAGGTATGAAGAACTGAGGAAGAATCATGTTACATTCATAGTTGTTATTGTTTAGTGTCATTGAGTTGTAGGTGACTCATAACGAATGAAAGACATGAACACTTGTATAACTTTGGTCGTTTCTCCATGTTCATAGAGTTTCCGGAGGCAAGCCGTTATGGAAGTGGATTCCACTCCTGCTTCCAAGCTGGTTTTAATCAGGAAGCTCCACCAAACACTGTCTACCATGGGTAACCATTATCACATTTTGCAGATCAGTGTTACAGTGTTTAGCATCATAGCAACCATGAATTACCTCTGTACAGCAGTGCCCAGATCAGTGCTATACCACTTAAGAGAAGGTTTGACAAAAAACAATTTAAACCAGGCCTGAGGGATGCAGCTTAAAATCCCCGACCTTGGGCTTGATAACATCACTTTCTGTCCACTAGGCCAACATAGGTCTCTCTATGTTGTCATCGTTGTTGTTAAGTGCCATCAAGTCATAGATGACTCATAGCAACCCTGTGAATGAAAGACCTAAACACTTGTATAACTTTGGTCATTTCTCAATGTTCATCAAGTTTCTGGAGGCAAGCCATTTTGGAAATGGATCCCACTCCCGCTTCTAAGCTTGGTTTGATCAGGAAACCCCAGCAAACATTGTCCACCATAGGTAACCATTATCTGTTTGACTCATTAGTGTCACAGTGTATAGCATCACAGCAACCGAGAGTTACCTCTGTACAGCAATGTTCAGACCAGTGCTATACCACTTAGAAGAATGTTTGACAAAAAATCAATTTAAAACAGGCCTGAGTGCCACAGGCCCAGGGCCCTAATGGGTTTTTAACTAAGAGGCCTTATCACGTCACCTCACTTCCCTTAGGGAATCAACATTCCACCCTACAGCTCACTAGTCCAAGCCAACAGCTTCTGTAGAACCAGCATTCCTAGTTAAAAAGATAATTTCAACATCTCTTCTAAAGCACAGTGTTGTGAGTGATAGGAAACTATCCATATACATACAAAGAAGGTCTGTTAATGCAACTGTTATGCAAATATGTTTTACTTTATTACATGTTGTTGTTATGTGCCATTGAGTTGCTTGCGACTCATAGCGACCCTATGTACAACAGCCCTAAACTCTGCTCTGTCCTGTGCCAATCGCACTGTCTCTGACACACCCATTCCAATTACCCCAGTCACTGAATCAATCCATCTCATAGAGGGTCTTCCCCTCCTGCGCTGTCCCTCCACCCTCCCAAGCATGATGTCCTCCTCCAAGGACTGGTCTCTCCTTACAATATGTCCAAACTATGTTAGATGGAGCCTCAGAATCCTTGCCTCCAGAGAGTCTCCTGGTCTAATCCTTTCCAGAATGAATCTTTTTGTTTTCCTAGCAGTCCATGGTACCCTCAACACTCTTCTCCAGCACCACAGCTCAAAGGCATCGAGTTTAAATTTCACTTTGCCCCTTACTGTTGTATGGCCTTTAGTTGTTTTAAATTCGGAACCTGAATATCTTCATCTGCAAAATGAGAATAGCAGAGCCTATGAAGCAGAATTATTGTAAAGATTATGTAAAGTAATTTAGGAGAACAGTGCCAATTCTTACTTACGCCCTAGGCCTGTTCCTTTGGTGCAGCCTCTGCTTGCATACTTTCTAGTATGTGTTTTTTGTATATATTTTCTTTATTCATGGATCTATAATTTTTTGTTTATGGACTACAGCAATCAAAAGTAATAGTCAAGCAGCATATATAGTATCTAAAAATGAATGGAGATATTTACATTTGCACTTATGAAACTGAGTTATTTCACTCAACATAATACTCTGCCATATTATATGCTATTTTATGAAATCCTTTCTTAGTGTTGCATAGTATTGCATTGTGTGAAGGTACCTCAATTTCTCAGTCCATTTGTTTGTTGATGGGTGTTTGGGCTGTATCCATTTTCTTGCTAGTGTGAATAATGCTGCTGTGAACATTGGTGTGCATATCTCCATTCAGTTCTGATTTTCTTAGGGTATATATTCCTAACAGTAGAATAGTGGGGTCATATGGGATTTTATATTGGGTTCAGCTTTTTGAGGAAATGTAAAACCATAAAAATATGGGAAGAAAAACAAACCTTACTTTTGCCATTTTCTTAGCTTCTTCCTTGTTTATCAGCTCTTGCCATGGGTCTGTCTGACAGTGACTGTTTACTAACCCTACACACTCTCATATAAGTGTGACACTGATAATTATTACCTCCTTAAATGCCTCAGGTGAGAGAGAATTTGGGCATGATCATGGAGGGGGGACATTCACCTTTTTGTGAGTTGCCACACTTCAAGCAGCACCCTACAATCATAGGCATGGAATAAAATTGCAAATCATATTCCCTCTTTGTATGATGTTATCATCATAATTTGAAACTTGATTCTCTCCTTGCTGTAGGTCATAAAAAGGAGTAAAGGTGTAAATTTTCTAGTGGCATAGAATAAAACATTTAACAATATAAGAGTTACCTTTTATACTTAACAGTTGCTTAAATATATTTTAGTATACTAGTTTATCTACAAAATTTGAATACATTGTTTTCTAGAACAGATTCTTAAACATTTCCTCACCCTCCCAAATCAAATTGTTGCTTAAATATTTTGCAGTTCTTTCCTTCTTAGCTCTAGCTGTTCCTGTAGGAGTTGGTTTTGTTAAATAAAGTCTTTGTTTAGGTAGCTAAAGATAATTGCAAATGTTCTACTCTCTACAGTTACAGTATGCAGTATATTTAGTTGGATTCTTTTGCATTAACTTTATGTGGTTTATAAGAAAACTTTTATAAACCAATTGGGTCAAATATAGAATCTGTGAGGGAGTTAATTTATTAATTTCAGTTCTGATATGTTTCCCTTTAATGATTTTGAAAAATGTTACATATCCAATGCTTTTAATGTTTTCATTACTGTCCATATCTTCTTGTCCTAGGAAAACAGTATAAAAAGATTTTGGGAAACAGTGTAAACACATTATTGTATGCAAACCAATTTTTAAAAATGGGCAAAAGAAAATAAAAAAATTATATATATATATATATATACACACACACACACACACACACACACACACACACATACACACTTTGATCCCGTTTAAAAAAAATATTGGCTAGGTATGTATAGCCAATGACTATGAACGAGAAAGAGCTCCGTCTCATATACTTGTGGCATGTGGTCAGAAGGGACCAATCCTTGGAGCTGGAAAGGGCAGAGGGACAGCACAGGAGAGGAAAGCCCCAGATGATATGGAGCGATACAGTAAATAGAACAATGGGGGTAGGTATATCAGAATCAGTGAGACTTGCTCGGGACAGGGAAAGCATCAGAGCTGTTGTACATAGGGTTGCTATGAGTCACAGGTGACTCAATGGCACGTAACAACAACGGAAAAAAAAACATTTTTGTCTTAAGCCAAGCCTATCATTTTAATAATGCTTTATGAATCTAGATCTTTTGCCTTGTGCTAGTGTAGAATTAGAGAATAAAAGGGGGGAAACCTCACTCAGCATTTCTCAAACTGAAAGTATTGAAAAACAAATTCAAGCCTTGATTTGCAGTACTTAGAGATGGTATTGAAATCTTGAATAACCCAAGAAACATGAAAAGAAGATGGTGGTAATACATAGTATCACTGTACCAAAAAGAATTGGCCAACACTGAAATATTTCAGGAATTACCATGTGATCAAGAACTGTATTGTTTGTGAATCCAAGTAAGATGAAATAATTGACGTTTTCAATCTTTTCTCCATCTATCACGATGGTCAACGACTACAACAAATCGTGATCTACGTTAGCAGGCATTATTGTTGTTGAGTACTGCCAAGTTGGAGCCAACCAATAGCACCATGCTTATTTCATTATCACCACACAGGTCAGGGGATGATACAACATTCTAATGAAGAAATTTCATGATAAGTTAAGCCGTGGTGCCAGAAGAGATTTGTCTTACTGTGCTGTCTTGCCTTTTTAAAGATACTAAAACTAGCTTCAGATCCATTGATGAGTTAAATGCAAGGTAAAGTTCTGTTGGAAGAGAACTTATGTCATTGGCTGAGAGCCTGACTTTTTAGCAGGCAGTGGAGTAGAAAGGAGTTTCCCTGAATTGGCTCAGGATATAAGAAACTGGTTTTGCTTTCGTTCCTTAGATATTGGCACAAGGACTACAGAAGAGTGATGAGAGAGAGACCAAGACAGGAGAAAGGAGGCTAGAATTTGACTTGCAGTCTCTTTTGTATTACACACTAAATAAAATGGTATATATTATCTTAGAATGCAGAGCCTTATTACACTTAAATTTATTTTTTTAGTATATAATTTTTTTTATCATTTAACATAGCAGTGAATACATCACATTTTCTTACAAGAGACAATATCATTTTCCTTTAATTCCCAATGAGATCCCGAAAATCATCTGTCTTTTGGAGGATTCAGTTTCCTACAACGTCTGTGATACTCTCCATGAGGATACCAACGGTGCTTGGTAGTAAAGAACATTTTGCTAAGTTCTATCATGGGTCCTTGCGCGATGGGTTTATCTTTTACATCTAATCTGGTTTTCAGCACTTGATCATGTGTTTCTTCACTAGGATGCACGGGATGTGGCGGAAGAATGGGTTTTGTGTGTTCATACGGAATGTCCACAGAAGGGTGGTAGCATACTATTGTTCTGCCATCAGATGTCAAAGCAAGCTCCACTTTGCAATTAGAGTCATCTGGAAGAGAAGAATATGTAGATTTATGACGAACACAATATAAAACTCCATTTTGAATTGGAAATAAATGTTTTAAGACAGTTCTGTTTGACAATGCCCATTTACTGCTGCTACTGCCATGGTGACACAAGATAATTAGTATGTAGTAGGAAAAAGTGGTTTTGAGGACAGACTGCTTTAAAATTTGCTTCCAGTTACACTTATTTTCATCCCTTGACAGCTTCTCACGGTGAAAGTGCCATCTTGTCTCAATCCGGGTCCTATGATACACCTTATTACACTTAAATTTATTTTTAACAGCAACTCACAAATTGTAACTATTCAACAAATTTTAAGTAACAATAAAATTTTAAGGCAAAATATTACAATATTTACATTAATTATGAAAATGCCTTTTCTAATGTGAGTTGCTAATTATGCAAAATTTATATGTGTTTTATTATGCAAATAATGAAAACGTAAATATATTCATATCCCCCAATTTACTTGGTATTTAGATTTTTTAGGGTTATCACTTTATTAATACTTAAATCTGAAAATCAGAAAAATCTAAAAATGTTCATAAAATCTAAACATAGGTTATTTAATGAAATGAAATATTTTAACATAGTTTTAAATATTTAAACATAGTTTCTAGAAATAACTCTATGAGGCAGAGAACTTTGTTTTTCGGTTCTCGTATCAAGATAGTCATTCAGCAGACATTTGAATACCTTGTAAATAGTGGTGGCACTATAGTTATTTGACGGCTAACCAAGAGGGCGGTGACTCTAGTCTACTAGTTGCTCTGCAGGAGAAAGATGAGGTAACTTGTTTCAAGAAGGCAGAAAAATAGGTATGCTTAATAAAAAAAAAGTAATACCAAGAAGCAGTATTGCTGAAGGAGAAAGTCTAGGTTGCACTGAGCCTTTGACAAAAAACATATTTCTGGGAATTGTTGGAATTTGAACAAACAGGAACTCCCCTCGATATGTTCATTTATCTTTGCCAGGATATTTGGACTGCCTGACCAACTAACTGAGTGAAATCCATATTTGTGTCCATTCCCAAAAAAATCCAATGAAATATGGAAATTACTGGACTATATCATTAACATGCAAGTGAAATTTTGTTGAAGATTTTTGAAAAACAGTTTAAACAAATATAGAGAACATACTAAAATTCAAGCTGGATTCAGAAGAGGAAATGGAAAGAGAGATATCATTACTGTGGTCATCTGGATCTTGGAGGAAAGCCAAAAAATATTAAAAAAGATGTTAACTTGTGTTTTATTTTCTATATGAAGGCATTTGATTGTGTTGTTATATGCCATCAAGTTACCTGAAACTCTTTGTGACCCTGTGTACAACAGCTCTGAACCTTGCCCTATCCTGAGCCAGTCTCACTAACACACACCTATGCTCATTATTCCAGTTACTGTGTCAGTGTATCTCATTCAGGGTCTTTCTGTCTTGTGCTGTCCTTCCACCCTTGCAAACATGCTGTCCTTTTCCAAAGACTGGTCCCTCCTGGCAACATGCCCAATGTATGTGAGACAGAGCTTCATAATCCTTGACTCCAAGGAGCAGCTTGGTTTCACTCTCTCTGAGACAGACGTCTTTGTTCTCTTGGCAGTCATGGTATGTTCAAGACTCTTCTCCAGCACCACAACTCAAAGGTATGAATTCTTTTTCTGTCATCCTTAGTCATTGTCCAGCTCTCTGATGCATAACAAGTAATTGTAAAATCCATGGCCTGAATCATATGCACCTTAGTATCTAGACTGACATAATTTTTCTTTAGCTCTAGGGTGTTCCCTGACAGCAGATCTTTACCATGCAATTTGTCTTTTTGTCAGTCTGTCTTTTGCTGACTACTGATGGCAAGCGTGTTGACTGTGGAGCTGAGCATGCTTAAACTGTTAAAGTCATTCTCTTCTCCTTCTGTCATGGTGCTGCCAATTGGATGAGAGGTGAGAGAGACTCTGTCATTTTGATGTTGAGCTTCAATCCATATTGAAGACTACAGTCCTTGACCTTCTGCAGCAAATGCTTTAGCTCCTCCTCAGTTTCAGTAAGCAAGGTTGTATCATCTGCATAATGCAGGCTGTTGATGTTTCTTTCTTCAATCCTGATGTCATATTCTTCCTCATAAAGTCAAGCCTCCTGAATGATCTGTTCTGTATACAGATTGAAAAGGTATGGATAGAGAACACCTCCCTAATGCACTCCTTTATTGATTTTGAACCATGTATTGTTTCCTTGATCTGTTCTGATAATTGCTTCCTCTTACAAATATAGGTTTTGCATGAGCACAATCAAATGTTCTGGGATTCCCATTCATTTCAAGGTCATCTACAATTTGTTGTGATCCCTATAGTCATTTGCCCTTGCATAGTTAATGAAACACAGATAGACATTCCTCTGGTACTCTTTGCTTTTATCCAGGATTCATCAGACATTGGCATTAATGTCTCTAGTGCCATGGCCTCTTCTAAAACCAGCTTGTCTTTCTGGTAGTTTTCTGTTAATGTACAATTCCAGTCATTTTTGGGTAATCTTCAGCAGGATTTTGCTTGTGTGTAATATTATATGACATGATGCTAAGAAGGGTGGAGGGTCATTGAAGGAGAGGAAGACCCCCAACGAGGTGGATTGACACGGTGACTGCAGTAGTGGACTCTTGTGTGTCAGGAAGTGTAGGGGTGGTGCAGAATAGATCAGGGTTCAGATCTTTTGTTCATACGGTTGCTGTGAGTCATACTCGACTAGTCATACTCGACAACAAACAGCAGTAACAATATTAGTGATACCATTTTTTGGAATGTGTATAAATATTGATCTCTTTCAGTCAGTTGGCCAGCTAGTTGTCTTCCAGATTTCTTGCCACAACCTAGTGAGCACGTCCACAGTACCATCTCTTTTATCTGTTTTTTTAAATTTGTTAATTTTTATTCATCAATTCCTGGAGCTTTGTTTTTTGTTAATTCATTCAGAGCAGCTTGAACTTCCTCCTTCATCACCATTGCCTTTTGATCATATGTTATTTCATTAAATACTTAATGTGTCAGCCAATTCTGTTTGGTACAGTGACTCAGTGTATCCCTTCCATGTTCTTTCCATGCTTCCTAGATCATTCAGTATTTTGCCCTTAATGTCCTTAAGTATTGCAACTTGTGGCTTGACTTTGTTATTCAGTTCTTTTAGCTTAAGAAATGCTGAGTGAGTTTGGCTCTTTTGATATTTCAGCTCCAGCTCTTTGTACAATTTATTATAATACTTTACTTTGTCTTCCTCTGCTGCTCTTTGAAATCTGTTCAGCTCCCTAACTTCCTACTTTCTTCCCTTTGTTTTTGCTTCTCTGTGCTATTCAGTCTCTACTGATATCGATCTCAATCTTTTCTTCATCCTCTCTCTTTATAATATCTTTTGTATATTTCATAGATGACATTCTTTAAATCCTTGCACACCTCATCAGGTCTTCATTCATTAGTGTTTAAGACTTCAAACTTGTTCTTGAGATGGTTTTTAAATTCAAATGGGATAGATGCAAGATCAACTTTTGGTTCTTGTGGATTTGATTTTAGTTTCTTTAGCTTGAGTTTGGCTCTGCATGTGAGTAGTTGATGGTCTTCCCAGATAAGAAACTATTTTATTACGTAGAGCGTCAGAAGAAACTCTGAAGATTGCACTGGAGCGTAGAGAAGCCAAAGCACAAGGAAGAATTCAAGATACTAAAGAGCTGAACAGAAGATTCCAAAAGGCT